GCAAGGGTCGGGGGTGGGACGGGGCCCATAGGGGGTAAGAGGAACAAAGGTGCCTATAGATTGAGAATTGGATTGTGGAATATAGGGACATTGACGGGTAAGTCTATAGATCTAGCGAAGATTTTCCAGAAAAGAAAGGTAAATATAGCTTGTGTTCAGGAGACTAGGTGGGTAAGATCGAAGGCGAGGAATGCCTACGGGTATAAGTTGTGGTACTCCCGAGGCGTGAAAGGCAAGAACGGAGTGGGTATTTTGGTGGATAGGGAGCTTAGAGAGTCAGTGGTAGAGGCTAGGCGTGTGAGTGATAGATTGATGGCGATTAAGTTAGTAGTTGGACGAAGCACTCTGAATGTCATTAGCGCTTACGCGCCGCAAGTGGGCTTGGACGAGGAGGTTAAAAGGCGATTTTGGGAGGAGTTGGATGAGGTGGTGCGGGGTACTCCGCCTACGGAGAAGTTATTTATAGGAGGGAATTTCAATGGGCATATTGGGTCGTCTGCTAGTGGCTATGGTGAGGTACACGGCGGCTTCGGCTGTGGGGTTAGGAACGGAGGAGGCACTTCACTGTTGGATTTTGCTAGAGCTTTTGAGTTGGTGATCGTGAACTCTATTTTTTCGAAGAAGGAGGAGCATTTGATTACTTTCCGGAGTATGGTGGCTAAGATTCATATTGATTATCTTCTCCTCAGGAGGTGTGATAAGGGGTTGTGCGAGGATTGTAAGGTGATCCCGAGTGAGAACCTCGCGACACAGCATAGACTCTTGGTGATAGACATCGGTATCTTGATAAAGAGGAAGAAGAGGTTTGTACGGGGTCAACTAAGGATCAGGTGGGGAGCCTTGACTAAGGATACTGCGTTGGAGTTGGAGGGGAAGTTGGCGACGATCTGATCCTGGAAGAGTGGTGGAGATGCTAGCGGTAAGTGAACGGCGACGGCGGATTGTATAAGGGAGGCGACGAGAGAGGTATTAGGGGTCTCGAAGGGATACTCAGGTGGGCACCGAGGCGACTGGTAGTGGAATGACGTGGTCCAGAGTAAAGTGGAAGCAAAGAAAGCGACTTAACTTAAGTTAGTAGAGAGCACCGACGTGGAGCAGATGAGAGCGAATAGAGAAAGGTATAACGAAGTTAGGAGGGAGGCAAAAGTAGCGATCACGGAGGCTAAGACAGCTGCGTTTGGGGCGGCTGTATGAGGAATTGGGGGGTAAAGGTGGGGACAAGAAGTTGTTTTGGCTGGCCAGAGCGAGAGAGAGGAAGGCTCGTGATCTGGAGCAAGTGAGGTGTATCAAAGACGAGGAAGGTCGTGTATTGATGGAAGAAGCCCAAATTAAGCAGAGATGGCAGTCGTATTTTCATAGACTTCTGAATGAAGAGGGAGACAGAAACATCGAGTTAGGGGAATTAGGGCACTCCGAGAGTCACCAAGACTTTAGGTATTGTGGGCGTATTGATGTGGAGGAGGTCGTGGGAGCAATGCGTAAGATGAGCCAGGGCAAAACGACTGGACCAGACAAGATTCCAGTGGAAATTTGGAGGTATGTGGGTAGAGTAGGTTTGGAGTGGCTGACTGAGCTGTTTAATGTTATTTTCAGGATGAAAAGGATGCCAGATGAGTGGAGATGGAGTACGATGATCCCGCTGTATAAGAACAAAGGGGATATCCAGAATTGTAACAACTATAGGGGTATTAAGTTACTAAGTCATACCATGAAAGTCTGGGAAAAGGTGGTGGAAGGGAGGGTAAGGAGGGCGGTGTCAATATCCGATAACCAGTTCGGGTTCATGCCAGGTCGTTCTACAACAGAAGCTATCCACCTTATCAGGAGATTGATGGAATAGTACAGAGATAAGAAGAGGGATTTGCACATGGTATTTATTGATATAGAGAAGGCGTATGACAAGGTCCCTAGAGACGTTCTTTGGAGATGCCTTGAGGTGAAAGGCGTGTCGGCAGCTTACATTAGTGCAATAAAGGATTTGTATGATGGAGCTAAGACTCAGGTAAGGACTGTGGGAGGGGACTCAGAGCTTTTTTCAGTGGTTATGGGTTTACACCAAGGATCTGCACTCAACCCGTTCTTATTTTCTCTGGTGATGGACACACTGACACACCATATTCAAGGAAAGGTGCCATGGTGTATGTTGTTCGCTGATGATATAGTTCTGATTGATGAGACGAAAGACGGCGTGAATGAGAGACTGGAGGTATTGAGGCAGGCCTTGGAGTCTAAAGGTTTCAAGTTGAGTAGGACCAAGATGAAATATTTAGAGTGTCAGTTCAGCGAGGGGTCGGGGGAAGCGGGCATAGAGGTGACGCTTGACTCGCAAGTCATCCCTAAGAGAGAGAGTTTCAAGTATTTAGGGTCAATTATCCAGAGAGATGGGGAGATCGACGGGGATGTCACGCACCGTATCGCGGTGGGCTGGATGAAATGGAGGTTAGCATCTGGAGTCATGTGCGACAAGAAGGTGCCACTGAAACTTAAAGGTAAGTTCTATAGAGAGGTGGTTAGACCGGTCATATTGTATGGAGCTGAGTGTTGGCCAGTTAAGAATTCTCATATCCAGAAGATGAAAGTAGCCGAAATGAGGATGTTGAGTTGGATGTGCGGGCACACTAGGCTGGATAAGATTAGGAATGAAGATATTCGGGAGAGGGTGGACGTGTTTCCCATGGACGTCAAGATGCGGGAAGCGAGGCTTAGATGGTTCGGGCACATGCGGAGGAGGAGCCTAGAGGCCCCGGTTAGGAGGTGTGAACGGTTGATTTTGATAGGTACAAGAAGAGGTAGAGGGCGACCTAAGAAGTATTGGGGCGAGGTGATCAGGCAAGACATGTCGCAACTTCAGATTTCCGAGGACATGGCCCTGGATAGGAAGGTGTGGAGGTCGAGCATTAGGGTTGTAGATTAGGGGGTAGTTGAGCATTTTTCCAGCTAGTCTGATAGAGTTTGATCTAGGTATGCTAGCGGTTGTTGTTCATCACACGATTTTTATTTCCATAATTTATTTTTCAATTTTATTATTGACATACTTATTGCCCTTCCACTTATTTGTTGTCTCTTACAGTGCTGATTCTATTTGTTTGGGTTCTGTGTTGTTACAGATCTTTTGTCTCTGAGCCGAAGGTCTCCCGGAAATAACCTCTCTACCCCCGGGTAGGGGTAAGGTCTGCGTACACTCTACCCTCCCCAAACCCCACTAGTGGGATTACTACTGGGTTGATGTTGTTGTTATTCTCTTAGGGGTCATTTGGTTTGAGTACAGAAAGAAATAATTATGGTATAAAGAGTTGTAATAGTTATTCAATGTTTGGTTTATATCTTCAATTTATGTATAGCAATCCTTGTATAAAGTTATACACCAATTTTGATATAATGTTTGTCTTTTTCCAGAAGCCTATGAAGGCCAAACATTCAAGGGTATAATTTGTAAATTCATTATTTTTTAGCTTAAAATATAAATAAATATTTTAAATAATATCTTTTACAGTCAAATCTCTTTATAACAGTCTCATTTGTTTCGATATCTTTTGGTTGCTATAGTGAAGTATTGTTATATAAAACATATATTATAACATAACATGGAGAATGATTCAAAAGGAAAACTGGTCGTTAAAGTGAAGTGTTGTTATAGAGATGTCTGACTGTATATCCATTTTTAATGCAATGAATCATACTATAAGCATGCAAATTTTAAATCAGAAATGTTCGGACTATATTAAATTCAAGACATTGTCCAAACAAATATTGTGGCTAGTAAATTGGACTAATTATTTAAATCCAATGTATGTGTTGGGCTAGTCCATTTAATTGGACTATAAATTAAATGATAAGCCCACTTCAGTAGCCCAAGGTCCAAATGGCTATTAGCCCATCTTAAAGCTCATGTGCATGCCACGTGTCAAGTGATGTGGCAATCCAAGTCAAAAGAATGAGCCAATTAAATCATGCCAAGTGTCTAGATGGTATTGGTTAGTTCAAACGGACTAATCAAATCGCAGAGCCACACAACTCCCTACAACTATAAATAGAGGTTTTCATAAAGCTAGAAGACACCAGAAGTGATAACAAGAAGCAAGCAGAGAGCCCGTGGATCAAACACCGCAGATTTCTCTACAGGCTACAAGTTCAAGCACTCAAGCTACAACTTCAAATTTAAGTTCAAGATGAAGAACGAAGTCAAATCAAATACCAAGGCGTTCAAGATCAAATTACTTGTTCGTGATCAAATCCAAATTCAAGTTCAAGAAGGAGATTCAAAATCAAGTTTTACAAGCCTTTGAATCAAAATCAAAATCAATTTCATTAAGATAGTTTACATTCTTGAAGAATCAGAGGAATATCATAGAGATTGTAGCACTCATTAATTATTGAAATCAAATACTACATTAGTTACACAGTTTTCTAGTCTTGATTACTTATTTTTCTCGACGCGAAAATTTGTTGTTAGAAATATCTGGCACGCCTAGTGGGACCATCTCTACCTCTCATCTCTTCAATTACCAAATTTTAAGAACATAGAAATGGCTCCTAAGAAGATCAACTTCAAACTCACTACTGCTACAAATTCCAAGTTTTCCTCTGATGTTGAAAACTTGATGGATGCTACTATAGAAAGCGTAGGACCCGTCACGGGGAACAAAGCAAACTTGACGGGACAACAAGAATTTCAAATGTCATCTGCGTCAGTTCCTATCTTTGATTTTCGACCCTCAAAGGGGGAAAGATCTTTTTCAACTGAATTGGAAGAAGGAGCGAACATTGTTGAAATTGTTGAAAAGACATTGGTTCTACTTAGCCCGTCTAGATCTAAGAATACCATCACACAAGATGATGATGATGTCTTGATCACTGGATCTGCTCCAATCACTCCAAATGAGTTGTTCCACATGATCTCATCCAAATTCACTCCTTTATTTGAGGATATGAAAACGGTCGATGCAATAGTAATACCCAACAAGGAGTCAGGGTCGATTTTCCACAGGGAGCTATGAATGGGTCTTAGGGATATATATTATAGTATATGAACTTGAATTATCTCAAATTGCACTTCCACAAAATTTGGTCAGTTCTAGGTCTAATTTTAACATTTTAAACTAAGATTACAAACTAAGAATTTAAACTAGGAAATTGTTTTTGATTGTTTTTCAAATGATATAAAAGGCCTAGGCACCTAGGTGTTCGCTTAATGGGTTGTAAGCCTTAAAGACTTTTTTATTGGTAGGGGTGTATTATAGCCATCAACACTCAAATACCCACTCAATACCTCTCGGTCAGAGAGTGACTTTTTCAAATTTGGCTTTCTCAAGTCCAAATGGGTATTGAACAAAGTAGTTGATAATAAGCTCAAATCGGGTTTTGCTATCTCTAGATTCAACCCTTTAATTGGGTTTATCAATCTCTCGATTGATCCAATTCCGTGCTAGCCAAGTTTTCCTAGACTAAGTCTCTCTTTCTCAAGTAGAGACCCAGTCAATTAGGCATGAAATAATATTTGCAACCATTAAATCTTCAATTTAAAGCAAGAACAAGGCTAGATAATCAACACCCAACCATAAATAAGCAATAAGTCAAACACCCATCAAGTTCACACACTAGGGTTGGGTCACAACCCTAGTAAAAGTTTAGCTGCTCATGCTTAAATTAGAAGAAAAATAAGAGGAAGTGATAATTAAAACCATATTAATGACTAAAATAATAAAACTAATATTCAAAAAGCTCAAAATATCTAAAACTACTAAAAAAAGCAAAGTAAACGGTTGCTGATGTCAAAAGTTTCAAACGTTACCCTAAAAAAGTGAAACTATTCTATTTATACAGTGCTGAAATTTTCGGAAACAATTGCCCTTTCGGAGGTTCTACGGCCGCACAATTCCATGTGCGGTCCG